GGGCCCGCCCCGTCGGACCGGCCAGGGGAGGGCTGTAGCTCGGCGACAGGGGGCGGCCGCGGCGGACAAAGCGCTTCGTAAACATCAGGCCTTAAAACCACGGTGATTTTATAGAGGGAGCCCCGGATACAGGCGTACGGCGGAGAACACGAGAGCTGCTGCGGTGAACGCGATCCCTATGCTGCTGGCCCGGAAAGAAGCATCGCCGGCGGGGCTCGGCCGCCGGAGAGTCCTGGAAAAGGCGGTTTATCCGACAGAGGCCATGATCACGTCCACGGGGAGCTCCTCGCCGCTGCGGGCGGTGACCTGCATGGTCACGGTGTCGGTCAGGACCAGCCGAGAGCGGACCAGGAGGTCGTGGCCGCCGCGGAACACACCTGGAAGGGAGAGCGGGAGGCAGGGGTGAGCGCCCTGCGAGCCTCAAACCGAACGCCACCGCTGGGCAAGGGCGGCTCGCCCAGGTGCAGCCCGGCAAAGCCCCAGCGCGGGGCCAGGAGACCCTCGAGCGGCACATCTCTCATTCGTCGTGACGTACCGAGGGCTCTTGCTACTGTAAAACTCACGAAAGCAAAGCGTAAAATAAACTCCAGCTGAGAAGAGATCCAGGCTTCCTTCACTTTCAGGACTTTGGCTCTCTCCAAACCAGGACGCCACAGATCACGGGGACAGCAAATCCCACCCAGCTGAGCCTGGGGCTGATCCCGACGTCCCCCCGCCACGGCACCCTCCCCGATCCCAACACCAGCTGCTCTGCGCTTGCGGGGACAGAAACCAGCCTCCAAATCCTACCCGGAGCGCAGCGGGCTCCGGCAGAAACTCCTGCCCCGATCTTCAACAGGCAGCTCTGTGCAACCTCCCAGAAAGCTGCTGCTCGAGCAGAGGCCTCACCCCGCGGCTCACCTGCCAGGTACAGCGTGTGGGAGTTCTTGTTATCTGGCACTTTATCCGATCGCTCGCAGGGCTGCATCCCCAGGAACTTCACGATATTACTAACTGCCTCTGTTAGGAAAAAAAATAAATAATACAGGCTCCATGTCACGGGTTTCTTGACAGGGACACACAGAGGTGACTCGAGCCCTCCCTGCATGGTAGGGCTCACGTTCCTTGTCCTGAGGGACACAGAGCATTGGCCACTTTTGCGATTTTAGAGGCCACCGGGGAGGCAAAGGCAACACACAAAAACCCCACCGCCACTCGCCGTTCTGTTATCTGATGCAGCAAAGGTGCAACAGAAACAGGAGGGGGGACGAGTCGGACGAGGGAGGCAGGAGAGCGCAGCTGGCCGCACGCTCACTGCGCAACCCTGCCAGCCAGCTCGCGTCTCTGGGGACGGATGCGGAGGGAAGGAGACACCGCGCGGGTCTTCAGGAGGGATTTGAACAGGCCTCGGGGAAGGTATTTCCAGCCCCAGGCGCTGTGCAAGGAAGCGCACAGATGGCTATAGGACAAGGACACCCTTCCAAGCCATCACAGGCTTCTCAGGAATAACAAAAGGAGTCTTTAATACATGATGAAAGAGGGCCTACGCCACAAGCCCACCCACCAACCTCACGCCTTCTCCTTTATGCATCTTTTTTTATTGGTCTTGAGTCCTAAGGGGAGAGCATCTCCTCCTTCCACGGGGGGAAGCGGGAGCTCACAGCTGAGCTATGGTCTGTCTGCCTGGGAGGGCAGAGCGCGAGAGCAAAGCAAGATGTTCTCTTGCCTCCCACACTCTGGCCTGCTCTCCACGGGGCCCAGAACACAGAGCTGGTTTTTCTGAAACCTGAATTAACTTGTTATCACAGCAACTGTAGCTCCACATTTAATGGCTGCGGTGAAACTACTTGTGAAGGGTTTTGCCCCATTAGCCTTTCTGTGAGAGATCCAAAGTGAGCCAGAGTGCGCCTCTGGACTTCGCCTCTTGGAGAGAGAGAAATGTTAAGAGCTCTGCTGGGCTCAGGCACCCCCTTACCTTCGAGGGTTTTAATAGCAGATAAAGTAAAGGTCTCTTCCTTTTCATACTCATCACCCACTTCATCCCAGGCTGCTCCGAAGTTTGGCTTCAGAACTCGCTGGATGTGATCAGCCACTGTTACCTCCAGGTCTTCAAGCTGGTGGTAGAAGAGGCTCAAATGAAACGTGGTTGTCCCTAATTCTGCTCTCTCCAGAGTGAGCTTTAGACAGGATTCCCCGAGATCAGGCAAGTGTAGGAGACAGCTTCCACTGCCACTCGTTAACACGTCAGGGCAAGCCCTGCCCCTTCTGGTTTGCTCGGGCAAACACCGCTTGGTTGAGCAACCGCCTGGCCTGGGAAAGCCACCGGTCGTGCCATTTCCAGGGTTCACAAAGCAGGTTCCCGTTCTGAGCACGGCCCTTGGCCTGACAGAGATCAAAGCACTGGACAAACGGCCAAAACAGAGGACAAAAGCTAAGAAACAGCTGCTTGTGCTCACACAGATGCAGCATTTGCTTCCCTGGAATGCACATAAGCTTCTATTTTGCCTTTCTGGCCCATCCTTTTGTAGGCCGGTAAAGTACAGTGAGACACAGTCAGACACTTGCTGTCACCCAGCGGTGTGTGCCGGGCTAGCTGGGCTGCTGCTGTGACCACATCTGCGCGAGGCAGAAGTGGGCTTGTCCCTCCAGAGCATGTATCGAAGAGCAGCCAGTGCAGGCACCAGCCTGCGTTCACTTCAGCCATCGCTGCAGGAAAGAATCTCCTCCTGATTCTAGTTGAAACACGTGGAAGAGGTTGTTAGAGTATCACGCAAATGCCCCGGTGACTGGTGGGAAGGAGAGAGAGGGGTTAACCTCGCATGTTCCTTTGGGAAAAGCCCTCCTCGCTCCTTCTGGGAGGACGCTGTGTCCTCAGTGACTCACTGCACAGCAGTGCCTCTAATCAGATTCGCAGCAGTGACAGGCAACGCATAGAAAACAGCTTTGGAGCTAACAGGGCAAGCTGAGGTTGTGTCACAACATCCCTTCCTCTCTGGAGGGTAAACGCCACGCTCTGTGAGCCAGCCCCAGTTTCTGGCCAAGCGTAAGTTCAGCTTCTTCCTTTGTGGTACGACAGCCGTCCTGGAAATGGCAGAGCCGGGCTCTGCAGCATCGCTGCTTTCATCGCGCTCGGTTCTGGAAAGGGAAAAGGCCCACCTTCCCCAGAGCACGAGCAGGATGGCAATCTGCCTGTACCAGGCAAGCCACTGGGCAATTAACTGGGTCACCACAGAGAGCAGCTCATGGACAACAAAAGATGTCTGACGGTCCTCTGTCTCCACAAACCTGACTGTGCCACTGCTGGAGCCCACAGGGCACAGCCAGGCAAGCCTGGAGGATGCCCCACGGCCTCCCAAAATGTATCCTGTACAGGCGGGTGTCTGTCCGGAGAGCAACAGGAGGACATGCCAAACGAGACAAAGCAAGCTCTCCAAACCCACATCTGCATCCTGTGACAGACGCCAGAGAGACAGCAAGAACCCACTCTTCACGTGATGCTGCCCACGTCAGCGTCAGTGGTCACAGTCGCTTGCAGGGATCCGAGTACCGATCACACTCAAAATGACTGCAGTTTCCACGATCAGGTACATGCCCAGCTCCTTACCACATACTC